GAAAAGGCCTCACTAAACTTTTTTTTAACGGGTCAAGTTAACAAGATTTTCTTTTCTATAACTCTATCTGTGTTATACAATAGCGAGCAATTAACTACTGTCTCATCTCCTCTGCTCAGAATTATTTGAACCTTATTGTGCCCCTTGGATCTCTTTCAAAATTCTTGGCTCCACTGGTAAAACCGTAAGATCTTTAGAAAGATCAATAGAAATGTCAACTACGTTATAATGGTTTCAGGAACGTGCCAATCCGAAGATTTATGTTACGAACTGCTTTTGACTTTTTTCGATTACATCAGATCTGTGCGGAGATAGGCGAAAAATCTAACGATCTCCACCTACCAAGTGCTTGCCTACTTCATCATCCCGAACTATGAAAGATAACTGCTTAACATTGGTACACCCGTCTAGCAGCCGGAATACAAAATATTGTAACTAAAACACCGTTTTGCTGTTCAAAGTCTAATCCGTTACTGCTACACGAATTTATAACACTTTCAACTAATTTACGACAAATTTATAACTATGTTGTCTGGACCATTATCCCATTTTAATTCCGCGTTCGCTGTCCACTGCCTCGACTGCGACTAACTGCTTCCGCTATCTGGTTGGATATTTACTCCCTTATCGACGCGACGAGAAACCTTCCAGCGTTTTCCAGATCAAGTCGTGAACCTCTATGGAAGAAGTCCAGACGGCAGCAGATTCATTTTCAGTCATATCGAATACTCGCGATGGCGGTACAGAACGTAAACAAACTCTATACATTGTCGTGTAACAATGGGATAGAAAATATCCTTGGGTAGCCTTGGGTGTCCTTGAATTGAGTAGGTGATGTTTATTGCCTGAAGGCTTTCCGAACTATCGCGGAACTTGTCACATTTTCGCATTCTTCATGAATCCGAGGGACTTCCCACATAATCCCTATCCCGTGAAAACCCAACCTTTCGCGATTATAGTACCTAAGTATAAAGTTGTATTTCATTACGTATCGTTTTTCTAATATTCAATAATACCTTGTCAAATCTACGACGGCTTAGGTTCCAGACGACCATTGTCATATATCAGTTTGCCAATCCAGCGCAAAACAAGGATTTCCGTGATATGCGCGAACCATTAAATCATGCAGAGATACGTGCAAACACACGTATGGTTGTCGAAAATGGAAATAAGGCTTTCGTATATGGCACACCATATATCACCGCGTAGAGCCCATTTTTATTCATATCGCGAGGCGATATTTCCTCATGATCAGCAACACTAACGATCGCCTCTACGTTTATCATAATTCAATGGCGATGGGACCGTAAAACATATCATGGATTTACGTTGTTTTCCTTTCCTATGTGCATGATGTAGAGAGTGATTTTAGAAGTGACAGATTTGTCGTTCCAGGATTCTAATGCCTGTGGATGGTTGTGATCGAAAACCTGACTTATTCAGTCGTCTGGAACTGTCTGAGATGATTTAATAGTGACAAAGGAAATGGAATGCCCGTTGAAATGATTTGATATGAATGGCACTCTATATACAGTTCAGGCTTAAGTAAGCGGGGTTCGCATTTTGATCGCCTGTAACTCAATTTCATTTTTACAAAGATCACTTTGATGTAATATTGGATAAAATTATTTTGACGTTATGACGCATCAGCTAAGTTTGGAATGATTTCAGAGAAGGAAGATTATATAAGCGTATTATTCTTTTTTATCATTATATTAGATGCACTGTATTTACTTAGCTGATTTTCCTCATCTCAGTATAGCAGAGATCTAAGCTGCAGACAACAAAATTGTCAACCACCAATGCGTCAATTTTCGGCAAATTTTTACATTGATTGGGAGGTTATTTAAAAATAATCAAAGAAGACAACGTTAGTCCACGAGTGACATATGGAAGACGTTTATTTGTTTACAATTTTTATGACGTCACGTCATGGCCGATAGCGTGTACACCGTTTAGAATTGAAAACAACAGACATATTTTTAAAAATTGAAATCGATATACTTCGTTTTCCTAAGCCAAACACTGTACGAAATACGCATTGATTCTATGATTGGATATGACTAATAGCCTATTCTATTTTCTATATGTCTTCTAAAATTCCCTCCTTACAATATGCTACCAAGTTATTTGTATTTGTCTCCTTTACAACTCTTGATTAAGTTTTGAAGTGAATACAGTTGTCGTATTGTTGGTTGTCCCTAAAAATGAGTTCGGTCGTCCTGATGCCTATATACCGCATATTTCGAATTTGTCCCTCACCATTGGAATTTTGGAAACGGTATGAGATACGAAGAGAGATGGAAACACAGAATTCTCCCAACATCGTTTTAATTTTTTCCATTTTATTTCAATAATAAATTGCACGTTAACATAGCTTCTGTTTTTACCGCACATTCGTTTTGTTATTCCAAACGTATTTGTTCCTAAAAGGGGAAGTTTCAAATTTATGGACACCCTGTAATTACGCAGTTATCGAACAGTTCCGCAGCAAAACTTTTCGTTTCAATTATATGATTTTGAACTCTTGCTATACAGTTCAAGTTACTGTATAATATTTGCTCTTATATTTCTAGTCTAATCACACAATATCATATTGTGGTATTCTCCGATATCTAGAATCCTTTGAATCCATTCACAAACATATACCTATTTGCGGAAGTTTACACAATATAGACACATCCACTTTATCGTTCCGAGAACGATTATACACTCTCACGTGTTTGTATACAGAAAACGAAGAAGGGAAAATAAATTAATTCAAGTTTATCTGTCATCGCTTGCATCTCAAGAAGCTGGAGTGTATTTTTCTCAAGTTGATGCATTAAGTAAGAGGTCTGCTTTTTGTCAGCATATCGATGTGGTGCGTGCAAGGTTAGATGGAGATTAGAGGCTAGAAAAATTAGGCAGTGACCTATTTAGGCTTCTACACGCATAGAAAAAAATATAATGTAGTAATACAAAATTGGCATAAATACGTCTTGCTAAGCGCGACAACTACTAAGGGAAGCTACATACAGATAAGGCCCGACATGGAATGTACTGTTTAAATTGCATGCTATTTAGATGGAAATCTGATGATCGCCAACAAACTGCCAATACTTTACCAAACTGATGTTCATCTCCATCCCATACGATGAAAATGACAAGACACTCTTACTTCCTCTGGCCCATAACCGTTTGACGTTCTGCGTTTTGCACAGAGATGTCGCACCACACTACTGTCGCAGTCAACTGTCAAGTGGTCGGAATACTTAGTATTCACAGACCAAACCAGCAATGGCTTTCTATGAATATATGCATAAATGTATACTGTTGACCGTCTAACCATGACCAACCGCAGGAATCATTGTTTCGTGCTCATCAGTGCGGCATAGGTCTTAGGTCTAGCCCTGTAGGCTTTTTTAAGAGATCTTGCCCACTTATCTGCTTCCAGTTCGTCTGTCTCTAAGACACACCTAAGATCTATACCGCAGCAATCAGTTAGTAATGACCATGAAACAGCGCTGTCTGCAGATGGTGCAAGGGTTGGTCATGGATACAGAGACGGAAGCCAAACATGTTTACATGTTTGCGTTTCCTTAGATGGTGATCTCAAATCCTTCTCGCATACCGGCGGTCGGTAGCTGGTCCTTTTTTACTGATGTGTCTACGATACCTTTTTTACTCGGAAAATATGCCTACTCGGCACTTTTTAAAATAGCATAATTATGTAGTATGGTCCGGGTCAAATCTAGCTGCTGGTTGACTTGGCAATACAGCAATATCCAACCATTTGATTCGAAAAGCGAATGAAATTTCTACGTCCTAAAATGGTTAACAACTATAAAATCTTGTGAAAAAGGTGCAAAGTTTCTTTTTATGGTCGACTAGAAATTAACTACGCCTTGATGAAGTGAATTATTTCAGAACTTAGAATAATCATCTTATAGCAGCTCGTAAAAACATCGAATTTAATTTTTGTAACAATAATTCTAAGGCAGAAAACCGTACTCTACCTTCCAACTCGTAGGTCATTTTTTATAATATCTGTCCACCGTAAATACGAGAGCTGAAGGTGACTTGCTGCTATTTCCGGTGCTCTAGCGTAGGAATTTTCTGCGGCCCACTGCCCGATTCTGTGAATAGTTCACACGCTGAGTTGCGGGTTCAAAGGATGGTGGGGTGGTTTTATTAGAAAGCGGCCCCCTTGGCGTTGTTTTTCTGGCGGAGTCTTTTTCTCACCCTCTTGGGGATTTAACCGTGCAGATACCTACACTCAACAATCGAGTTGAGGGGAAGCGCCTGCAGGGTTAGTCCAAGACGAATTTGAGTAGGACTCACGCCTGGGAGGGGCAGTTCCCCATCTTTGGTGAACCCTCATTGTTCGAGGGTTTTACCATCCGGTTTTACCTTCGGGTTCTACCCTCCGATTTTAGAGTAACACCGGGGACTTTCCCTCGGTTGCCGCTCGGGGATAGCCAAGGTGTTTTCTAATCTTAGTTTTAGTTTGACATTTTTGGCTCCTTTGGTAACCATTTAGCCAGGGGGAGGTAACCATGAGCACCCACATAGCAAAATCCAGGGAGTGGGCATGTTTGGTAGCAGAAATAATATCTTCTATGTTTAAGAGCAAAAAACACACGCCACTTCTTACCCAAGGATTGGGTATCTTATTAAGAATATTCCACTTTGAAGCATAAGCTCATAAGGATAACAAAAGAATTTTCTTAGCCTGTCCTCCAGGACTTCTCGCTTTAAATACATTTTATCTTTTTTTTGTTCAATAAATGTCTGTGTACCTTGTGAGTTTGTATCTCCTTTAGCGCCAGAATCAAAACAGTGATACTTGTTATCTCATTTCCTAGTTTTTGAAACCAGGTGGCGCCCAAACAACCATTGCCTCCAAAAACCAAAGTACAAAGAACCTCACTTAACAGAGGGCCAGACTTGTTTTTGTGAAATTAGAGGATATGTTCGTGTAGATTCTTATGGACAAAGGAAGTAATAAAACTTCATAATTATGTGAAAAAAATACAATTTATTAATACGATTACGCTTAACAATACACACATATCAATGTCAGACTATAAAACGTTATCATTAAGATATTGGAGAAACGGTCTATCACAATCATTACATTTATATAGCTAAGAGGTAATCATGGCACACAGTTCTTTACCCTGACTCATGATGTACTAGATTGTAAAAAATCGATTCTCTGCTTTCCAGAAGATTGTCAGGTGAGTCAAATTCCGCAACTTTCCCATCACTCATAACTAAAACCCTGTCAGAGTCCAAAATGGTTTGGATACGGTGGGCTATGGTGATGACAGTGCTTTTCCTGAAGGCCGTTCTCAAGGTGACTTGGATCAAACGATCCGTGTCTTCGTCCACGTTAGCTGTTGCTTCGTCGATACATAAAATCTGGAAAAAAAACAATGGTTGTGATCTAGGAATTTGTCCCCTGCCCTACGGACAGCACCGACCATCTGGCAACGTTGCTATGACTGACCTGTTCACTCTCCAGCCACGCGGGCCACCCATGCAATCTTCCTTCATTCCAAGTTTTAGGGGCAAATCTCTGATGTGTGAAATATACTAAGTGACATATAAAATGCAACACCCAGAATTATTTATTGTATTTAGAAAAAAACTTGTAAACATTTGTGCTATCATGGAAGTATATGATAAAATGTTGAAGGCGTACTTTTTTTGTAAATGCTTTTTTGGTTATCACAAGATCCGAATAATATGAAGACGTTTACTTGATATTCAGTGATTTTTCTACGTTGGTTCCATTTGTTTCATTGTCGTTTCATTGCATTATCATGCCTAGAGTTCGCAAAACGCGCTTATTTTACTCAACTTTCCTAGTTTGAGAGGACTGAGAGCTACTGTAATCAGATGTTGTCGAGCGTGGTTCCAAGAAGCGTGAAATCGACGATTTAAAGGTACTGGACGTCAAAGACAGACTACAAAGAGACAGGATCGTTGTTATAGGCAACTATAACTTAGAGATCAATTTTCCACAACAAGGGCAGTTGTGAACCGGTGCTGTCGGAATTGCAGTAACAATGAGGACTTTCTAGAAGCGTCAGGAGAAAATCTGCTTCAGTGGCCTCCTCGATCTCCAGATCTTTCACCTATCGAAGATGTATGGGACATGACGGGAAGAAGGTTGGAAACTTCACCGCCCCAGCAACAAATATGGGAGGCTCTAGGAAACCAAATTCAGATGGCCTGAGATATAATACACCAAGAAGATATCAATCAATGCCGCGACGCATGTGTAACGAACCGAGGAGCTTCAACACATTATTAACATTAAAGTGGGATATCTCGGCTGTTTTGCAAAATTTCGAGTTAAAATTTTAGTCACTTTCTACTTGTCAGTAGACCCCTTAAATTATACTTAAAATTACAGTGTCTTGCATTTTATATGTACTTAGTATATCTCTGATAGGTTCATGAAACTACCGGGGTTGGAATACTGTCGATATCCTGACACCAAAAATTTAGATATACCTTCTTCCACCCTCTACAACACCCAATTTTTATAGCAGTCTTTGAAACGTCTGAAAACAATGCGATTTTTACTTTTCGCTTTCCCCCTGTATTGCTGCCACTGGACCCATGTTCAAAAAATGTTTCATCTTTGGGATAATAGTAACATTGTGTGGAATTTTTATCAAAATTCTAGTCGTATTTTCCAAGTTATAGACGGACAACGTCAAAAAAACATAATACCTCGTTTTCTAAATGTTTCGTGATTATATCCCTCGCTGATGGAAATAAAAGGGTCTGGGACGGAGCTTTCAGCAAAATATATATTGCGAAAAAAAGGCAAGAAAAATTAAAAAAAAAAATGAGTAAAATAATAAATTTCGTCAAGATCAGTGCAATTATCTCAGAGACAATACACACGGACACAATAACCCCAACGGCGGCAGACCACAAAATTTGGATATACGACTTGACATAGTTGGAGATCTAGATAAAATCGAAAACAAAACTTGTTTGTTTGTTTCAGATTTATTTAGCATTAATGCTACAATATCCATAATATCCATGTTACACAGTATATCACAAAATATATTACGTCGTCAAGACTACATTTTTTAAACAAAATCTCACTACTATGAATTCTGGTTTTCCATGAGATATTTTTTCAATTTCCCTTTGAACATATTCTAACTGACACACATCTTGATATCATTACTTAATTTACTAAATTCGTACAATCCCTTTTGAAATACTGGCTGGTTATACATATTGCTACTGCAGTTTTGTAAATGAAAGTCTATACTTCCTCTAGTAGAATAATTGTGGCACCCATTTTTCAATACAATAAAATTTTCTAAGTGATTTGGTAGATGATTTTTTAACTTGAATATGAAAATGAAAACCAAGTAGGCTATGAAATTTTTGATATTTAACCATTTTAGTGCTTTCAGCATAAAATTTATTCTAGTATCTTTATTTTTATTTAAGATGATTCTCATAGCTTTATTTTGTAATATTTGTAATTTTGAAAATACAGTTTCATTTGCACTGAACAAAATAGTCGAACAATATAACAAATGAGGAAGAATGATAGTGATGTACACAATTTTTCTAGAATAAACGCTTAGGCTATGCGAAATTCTATCAAAGTAATTTATTTTCTTGGATATTTTTGAAATAATTTATTCATAGTGCCCTTCAAATTTCAATTTACTAACTGCCTACGTATATGCCCAAATATTTAAATGATTCGATTGACACAGTTTTTCATGATTAATTGTAAGAATTATCGTATTTTGATCTAAAGATTTTCCTAATAGCGTATATTTTTTTATGTTTTTGTTTATTTTAAGTTTATTTACATTTAACCAATTTATTACGTTTTTTATATCATAATTTAACATCTCTATTGCAGTTGCAATGTCTTTGTTTGATATATATATATATATATATATATATATATATATATATATATATATGTATCATCAAATAGTTGAATTTAGCAGTGTTGTAAAATATAAGGAATATCGTTAATATATAAAGTAAACAGTAATGGACCTAATTTGCTACCCTGTGGCACACCTACCGAAATGTTTGATAATGTATTGCCAATTTTAGTTCTTTGACTTGTATTGGTTAAATAATTTTGTAATAAGTTGAATACTGAACCATAGCAATGCAATTTCGGTAACAATTTCTCCTCGTCAATAGTCTCAAATGCTCTCTTGAAATCTAAGAACAATGTTACTGTAAACTCTTTTTCATCCATATTTCGCCTCCATTCTTCTACTACCATTTGAATTGCTGTTTCAGTAGAATACTTTTTTCTGAATCCTGCTTGAAATTTTGTCAATATCTTATTTTCTTCAATATATTCTTGTTCTTGTTCATGTTCATGTTCTTCTAAGAGCTTCTCGATATCTGGCAGTACATTAATTGGCCGCATGTTTGTATATAACTCAGAATTTTGCTCTTTTGGAACAGGAGTAATTGTAGAACATTTTAATTTTGAAGGAAATTGACCATACACTGAACAGTGATTCACTAACAAAAATAACTTCTCGCCAGTAATGTTGTAAAGCCCCATCAAATTGTACCTTAAGAATAGAGTGCTTCAACTATTCGTGCTCTAATATTTTGGAAATTTTGATAATCATTTATTGTAATATTACAATGTAAAAAAATTCGCTGTTAACTGTTGAATCTAAAAAAAATGTACCTTGGAGTTATGCAGTACAGCTCTCGCCAAACAGATCAGCTGCCTTTGTCCCACGCTGAAATTGGTGCCTTCTCCATCCACGTGGTGCTCCAAACCTCCCAATCTTTTGATGGTCTCTGACAGGCCAACTTTGTCTAAGGCACTGCGAATCTCGTCATCCCTGAATTCACTCAGTGGATCCAAGTTTTCTCTGATTGTGCCAGTGAACAAGAACGGGTCTTGAGGGATGCAAAACATCCTAGCTCTTGAAAGAAACTTCTGTTAGGTGTATAGTTGACGGGAACTGCATCTTTGCAGTAGCAAAAACATTGGTGTATTTAGAAAGGTAGTACTTCCCATCTAACATGTATGTTTCTTCATGCCAAAAATTGTAACTAACTTAAATTGTAAGTATATGCCGCATTTTCTCTTTTGGTGTGTCTATTTCCAAAATTGATTGAAAAAGATGACTATTTTACAGAAACGAACTATTTAGATATATCTATAACCAAAAGCGTTTTTGGAGCTACATGCAGGCCTTTATTTTTAAATCCTGAAATTATAGCTGTAGTATAGTTGTTTATTTTAGAAACAGCAACACTTATATCTGAGCGTATTTTGGTAAGTAACTACACTACCGTTCAAAAGTATTTGAACACCTGCATATTTCCATTTAAAATCATAACAAGAAAGACTATTCGGTACGTATTTATTTTTCTTTATCTATTGAAAACCATCACCGTGGGAATCAAGCATCACCGAGAGGTCATTGAAATCAAAATTTTGCTCACACTAATACTGGGATCTCATCCATTAGCCATGATAGAAATTTCTTTGCCTTTACAATATTGTTATGTTTTTGTTTAGGAATACCTTCTCGGGATTTGTTTTTCGATTATTCCTTTTAACCCATAACACAGTTTTACTTCACTGATCTTGTCTCAGTTGATAAACTGACCCCGTTTCAATACCTTATAGTTCAAGATTGTTCAACAAGTGCGTTTTCGTTTATTTTTTTCTGGACAAAATCGGTGAAACTGATGAATATTTCGAGGAGATGAAAGTAGTTATTATTGGTCTTCATAAATCCGGCAAAAGTATTCGAGTCATTTCTAAACTTCAGAAGATACCACTGTCATCTGTACACTACATTATCAAAAATCATTAAGGCTTAAGGCACAACATCCAATAGCCGTCGTTCAGGGAGACACAGAGTTACAACTTCTACTGAAGACTTTAGCATAATAGTGAAATGTAAACGCAATAGACGGATGACTGCACCCGAAATAGCAGCGGACTTGAATGTGGGCGAAAATTGGACAGTTGCTGACTGGAAGAAGATCCTCTAGAGCGATGAATCGAAATTTGATATTTTCTTCCAAGAGAAGAGTATTTGTCCGGCAACGGCCTAAGGAGAGGGCATTATATGTAGAATCATGCACCGTCGCTTCAGTCAAGCATGGTGGAGAATGATTTGGGGCTGTTTTGGTGCTTCTGCTCTGATGATATTGTGAGACTTCAGGGAATACTGAATAAAGAAAGTTACAAAGCGTCTTATTGGTCCGGGGTTTGTCTTTCAGCATGATGATGACCCCAAACACACCTCAGCTCTGTAAACAATGTTTGGAAGCAAAAGAAGAACAAAATATTTTGAAAGTCGTGGAATGGCCTCCCCAATCCCAGGTTTTGAATCCGATAGCGTTGCTGTGGGATGAAATGGTCAGACAAGTACGGAAATGTTGTCCGACAACTCGAGAACACTTATGGAGAATATTACAAGAAGAATGGCGAAAAATCACCCCATCCACTTCGGAAAAATTAGTTGCGTATTTAACCGTCATTTGCCAGGCTGTAATTAAAAGTAAAGGAGGACTTATTGATAAGTCAAAAATATGATTATTTTGATTATAAATAGTTATGTTGTTAAGAAATAAGAAAATAAAAGTGTCATACAGATATCGTAAATTTTTAATAACTTCTTTCAGTTTCCTTACTTTCTGGGTATTCAAATACTTTTGAACGGTAGTGTATGTCAGTAAAGAAGCATATTATTCTTCAGAAAATAAAGTATATCTATCTACCTATGGTAATATCTATTTTATTCCAGATTTTTAATAAGTTCCACATTTAGCGCTTACCTCAATGTCGATAAAGATATTGTCTTGATATTAACAGAATCAATAGTGATACATCCAGTCTCAATTTCAACTAATCTGAACAATGCTGCCACCAAAGAACTTTTACCAGCTCCAGTTCTGCCAACAACTCCTATTTTTTCACACGGTCTAGTTTCAAACGTAACTTCTTTCAGAGACGGGGGTAATTGTTCTCTAAAAATAAATCGAATTATGAATTGAGAATTTCTTCAAGCCCGAAACGAATGCACATATGGTATGCAACTACAAAAGTGCCCGTACATCCAAATTCAAGGCGACTTCTAGCCACAGCCACACAAATTAAGAGTTTGTATATTCGTAACCATATCAGATCGACCAAGTGTCACCCAAAAATTGACTCTTATACGTGAGATGTCGCTACGGTATATGGTGATAGAATTAGCTAGGTAGATTATGTCTGAATTTTTCTTGATCGCTGAAACTTCGCAACTCACCAGCTTGAATTATAAAATTGGTAGGTTTATCAGTCTTAGTTTGGACCATTGTGACCAGAAACAACGAACATACCTATAACTTAGTGAAACATTCTCGAACTTCACAACGCCATGTCCAGGCCATCCGAACGGTGGATCGATGACAGCCGTGGTAGTTTTCTCTGGCGAAATGTCATTTATATAATGTCTCACTCTTTCGACGGCGACCATTTCTCGTTCGGTTTCAGTGAAAGCGTTCACGACTCCAGATAGCGCTCCGGTGATCGACAGGGCATACGATATTGATAGGCCCACCATTCCTGTATAGTGCAGTCATAATAGATTCTAAGGGTAGCAATATTCTAAGCAGGGTGGAAAGATGGGAGTTCTTTGACTGGCTGCTGAATCAAACCGCCGTGATGGCCGAAACATCGTACAATAAACATATTATGTGCTTTGATTAAGTGGCCAGACATGAAGTCGTATAAACGTAAAAGCCACAGGATAAGTTTCAGGAGTCACACTAGGATGGGAAGGTTTTAGAAACGTAGAACAAGTATATAAAGATGTGCTCTAACAAGCTCTAACTTATTCACAGGCCGACAAAAGTAAGACGACCCTCCTACCCAGAAACCGGGGGCAAATTATTTTTTTCCCAAAAAAACCATAGATACCTCAAAGTTTGCTCAAATATCTCCTCCTTTCGATGCCATATGGCACTTTGAAATTTTCATTTCTGTAATTTAGATCGTATCAGCTTTTATCATTAGAAATTATGTTTCTTCCAAGTATGCAATCGAAACTAAGAACGTGGGTGGGTGTGGGCTTGCGGTTTGTTTAAGTTTTTATGGATTTGATATTGACGATTCATCAGTTTTTTAGCTGACGGGTCTTATGTCATAAAAATACATTAATTTGTTATTATTTTTCTGTGTATTATAATCTAAACCTGATGTCTCGAAAATTAGCGGCAATTGAAAGATTTAGACCACGATTTGGATTTTTGGTTTCCAGATAAAAACCTTGTCAGCCGGTATTATCTTGATAGTCATTCAAGCTCCCTAGAGGCCTCGTTTTAGTAGCCTGAATCTTTGTAGGAACGGTATATACCACACTTTTAGTGTAAAGATGTAATGCAAGTTAGGAGATTATGCTTTACTTGCTCTTTGTATTGAGACATTAAATATTAATATTCTGAATTTTGCGCCCATATTTTTGGTAAGTTTCCGGACCTAGACCGCATGAACACTTTTCATTACCACCGTATGGACTATCAATTCGGCAAGAATTCATACAATTCCAACTAAAGTGTTTTCGCATTGCTTTGGTGCGGAGTAACACAGAGGGACTTGAAAAAGTCTAGATTGAAAAAATAGCCCCACAAAGAAGAGACATTCAAGCCTGGAAAATAAGTGTATCTATTCTTGTTTCTGATAATTGAGGAACTTTAAAAAATGATTACACAAGATGAACGCTAGATTACGATTTTTTTCGATTAAATTGTGTTATCTTTAGTCCGCGTTTTCATGTACTTTGAGGTACAAGCAAGGGCTACATATAGTAGACGACAACGATATTGTATTCGTTTACATTCTTTGCCGATAGTCATAAAACGGCTATGAAACCGAGAACCGGCGGCATGAGGACAGAGACGGATCTGAAAATTTTCTTGCAAGCCTCGACGAGATGAGAGATGACTGAATCAAGATGTTGAAGTAACGTTGATTGTTATAGATATCAAATCTCTGAAATGTCCGCATGGAACAACTCTCGCTCTTTCCATTAATTCTCGATGTACCATCTCTGCTGTGGGAATTTCATTACGTTTATAATGATCATACTCTATGATCCTTATTTTAGCAGTTGTTGCTGCACTTGAAGGTACAGATGTCCCCTTGTCAATTCTTCTTTAACTTGGTTTGTTACCGTTACGAATAGTTTTGCAAATTGAAGGATATGGCGCGTTAGTCAGTTTGCTGATTTTTTTAAGTACACTACTATTGCCGCTATCACCCGTTTCACGTAACAACATTAATGCAAATCTGTTGAACATCAACAGACAGGCACTTTGTTTTAGCAATACGACGGTATTCCTGACTACCATTGTTGCCCTCGTTACTACTATCAGTATCATGCGCTCTGTCCGAAAAATATTTGCTGCAAGATGGGTTTCCATCATTCATAGCGCCTTTTTTAATATAATTTTCGATGTCCTTGGGCCATCGAGCAGATCGTTCTTAAGGGCGGAAAAAATTCGTATCTCACATAATTATTATTCAAGACGTCGTCCGTCAACCTCCATTGTCTGCATAGAACTGAAAAAATATTCCCGAGTACCGCCCTGTTGCATCGCGCTGATTAACCTGCGCGCGGGGCTCGGGAGGGGAGTGGAGGGGTTCAGGTCTTCATAGCGCAGTCACTTTATGTGAACGTGTTGCTATGACAATATCGAAACAAAGCGATTTTTTAGATTCGCTGCATAAAAACCAATGGTATCGAACTATTAAAGCTTTTTGGGTTATTGTACATTGCTAAAATGTATAATTTATACAGATGAACCAGATTCCATTATTTATACCGTATCATATAATGACCGTACTATAAGGCGGGTCGGTGACACAAGGAAGCAGAAAAAATGTAAAAGAATACAATATCGTTGTCGTCTACCATACCAAAACTGAGACCATGAAGACGAATCTTAAATAATTCGACTTTTTTACATAAAAAACTGTGGAAAAATAATAGAGACGATGCGATATTGTTTTACTTTCAGTCCAAGTGTTCGTATCTACAGATACTGGACTATGTAGTGAATAACAAATTGATTCCTGCCTTGTTTCTGTTAATAATGGACGAATGCGGTTCTCTTCGTGATAGATTGGGTTTTCAATTTTTCAACGTTTATTAGCCATTTTATCGAAGATAAACTGAGGTGGTGTTTGTGTTTCATTTTGAAAGGTTTTCAGGTCATCGGCGAAACATTCAATTTAGATGGAAAACACGGACGCAGGCAAAGGAATTTCTTCGAAAAAACGTCAGATAGTAAAAGAGATATAAAAAGGGTGAATTTTCAGAAAGATGCCCTTAAGGTCCCTTTTTTCAATAGTTTGTTAGGAGGAATATACCTAGTATTTTTCGTCTGATGTGTATGGAGATGACTGATAAACAATATTACCATTTTTTGTCAACAAATGTAATTTATGTATTTTTCAACAATCCTAACTAGTTTTTAAGTAATAGTACAGCTCTGAAGTTCTACGAGATTAGTAGATTAGTGTAGCTACTTGTTTGTTACCATTTTTACTCCCCACGCCTACTGGCGAGGAATTAATGAAGTCACGAAAATTTTTAAAATGAGATATGTTTTCTGACATTACGAAAAACCATGTCACTCTGTAGGGAAGCAATATATTTCAATGGAAACACAATTTTTGCGAGTTCACTTACCAGCATCAGCGATATCGTACTGATGTTGGATAACAGCGATAAAACCGACTCCAGCTACCACAGTTATAGCGATCCCTTGCAACCTTAAGCCAAGCCACCTTGATGCTGCAGCACTGGCTAAAAGCGCTTTTGATGTTTTATCTACCAATTGCTTGTTTTCTATTCGGAATCGGCGAGTTGCTCGAAATGCTCTGATCGTACTCAAACCTGCAAAATAGAATATGCTTTTTAAGATAAATCTAATCAAACAGAAGATATTATCACATATTACCTTGCAATGATTCATTAAAATGACTGTAGACCGGTGATAAAGATACACTTGAAATCCTTTTTAGTTCTCTGGAAGTCAATCTGTAATGATTTTGTAACCAATGGTACACTGGGATCAAAGGCACTAGTACAACGCAAATCCAAGGTAGACCATACACGGTGACAACAAGAGAACCTGTAACATTTCTTTGTTTTTAAGACACTCTGTACATTACTATATTCATATAGTATTCCTAATTCTAATTGAAATAGCAAAAAATGTGACCCTAAGAAAATCAATACAGCATTTTAATCTATCTACCTAAATATTTCGAAAATCGTCGGTATTCGAGGGGGACGTATAATGACCTTGACCACATCCTTCAAGGTCATTTCAAGGGCAAGTGAATATTTTAAAATAAAAAACCGCCTTTCTCATATCGGAATTTGAACAGATGAGGAAATTTCATGTCACCATGACCTTGACTATCAAATACAATATGCTCTAGCAAAAATTTTCGACAGCACAGTTGGTTTATCGGGATCAACCAAAAGGACCTTGACTGTAACCTTCAAGGTTACCCCAAGAAAATCTGGAAATGGAAAAAGCAAGACATTTTATCTCCAAATGTGACCTTGACTTCAAGTAACTTTTAAGGTTGACACGACCTTGACTTCAGAGCCAAGGTCACATTCTGTCGTGCAATGTTTTTTTTTTCATTTCCGGTGTAAAAATGATTTTGGATTTCTTTGTAAATACTGAGTCAACATTGACAAGGCCATAGCAATAGTCGAGGTCACTGTCAAGGATATTGTTAATGTCATATTCAAGGTCATTCCATTATCAAAGTCACAGTCAATATTAGGGTCAAGGTCAATATCAGGATCAACATCAAGGTCATAGTCAAGGTCACTTTAGGGTAATCCCAACAAACATGTGCTGTCGAACATTCTTGTTAGAGCAAATTGTGTTCGATTTGACTTTGAAATAGCCTGGAATAAATAGTTGAGGTCATGGTAGTCATATCGGGACGTAAAATTTCATCCTGTTTTTAATTCCAATGTAAAAAGGAGGTGTTTATTTGAAAACATTCATGTAACCGTGAAATGACCGAAAAGGCCAAGGTCATTGTCAAGGTATTCGCAGTTTTATTAACCTCAAAACCCTACAAGGTATATTTAAACATTTTTTTAGGAAGTGTAGGCTGGGAGATTAAGTATAAGGGCAACATTTTTTTGCTTTTTCAATCAGGAAGAGGCATACTATAAATGTAAATACCTATGAGCCCAAAAAATTGTGCCAGCAGTATATTCAATATGAAAGGCAACGAATCGTCAATCGTGTAGGTATCGCTCGAGAATCTGTTTAAAATCCTCCCTACTGGTGTAACGTCAAAAAAGGAACACTTTGCCTGAAAGAAAATGCAAAAGCATGAAAATCTCAGTGTTTTAGCATTACTAATTAAAAAGCCCATAAGACGCTGGCTTCGAATCGATACCTCTTTGCAGGTGATGAATATTGTATGTCCATTTACGGAAGTTACGGATATGTAATTTGCTTACTTTCCGGGCACTTGGCTTGGACCTCGTTAAAATTGTATTGAAGTGAGATTTCATCTATTTTCATAAAAAGCCAGATGATGGTTATGGTTCTCTTGTAATTTCAGTCAAAAAGTTCGTGGTCCGCTTTAAGATCAAATTCACTTCACTACAATTAGCACCAGGATAAGAAATAAATGACTTCAGTGTATATGTGCTTTGATCTCATTAACAACAGGATCACTGCGTAATATCTTAAAATATCTTGGTCATTCCATTCAAGTATGGTCAGACGCGCACATATAGGGACTGACCTCCAAGTGGCCTTGACATTCAACTACAGGGTCACGATTTGGGTTTTAACATGATATGTTCTAACATTTGGGTTGTTTCAGTAAACAACGAAAATCTATATTCACATCTCGGAATGTACGTTTTGGATCCCAAAAGAGACATCATGATATCTTTTCACATCCCTTCAAAGCATATCCTCCTGACGAACGATTTGAGAACATTTTTCGACCTACCGCGCATGTGTCGTGAGTAACCATTGGCATAATGGCAATGCGACGCCTACCTTCTTCCATTTTGTTTCATTCCATGTCTATGCGTATCTAAAATAGTATGCATCGCCTGTGTCTCCAAGTGGTACATTATTTAACAGTGTTTTTTGTGAAAAAAAAGGTAAGTAAGTTTCGTGATAATTATTCACCTCAGTTCGTCTGACTAACGAACCTCCAGAAACATCGCCTAATAGGAAGTTTAATTTCTAGCATGTGGATAGAATAAGAAAAACAAGAATATGCTCTTATAATACTATAGAAGGAGACGTAGACTTTACATTCGATATTTCTATGACGAACCACTGGATGTTTCAAGAACGGTAGATATTCGTTGGGTATATTAGGTACATAACGTCACCGAATATCCAAATTCTTTGATGTAGGCGGAGATCTGATATCTAAATGGATATCCACTAGATGTAGGTTATAACGCGCCAAAACCTCGTAACCTTTTTTTTACTATTTTGGTCACTTACCAGTTATTTGATTTCTCTTTAGTAATGGTAGTAGAGTGCCGATTTCTGGGCCAAACCCTTTTTAATGATTTTCTTTTAGACACTAATGTAGTATTACTATCTCTGAAATTTCCTCATAAAATATCGTTGGCCCCTCGTAAATAGTTTTCTAGGGTCCGCCCATTGGCAATCAGCGCCAGTCTGATTTCTCTACGTACTAACCTGTATAAGAATATTTGGTTTCCTATCAAGATACCTCCTAAAAAGTTACGTGTACAGACGACGAGTTCGGCGCCATTTTCTTTTTTCTGCTGAGGTGTTGTGCGTGGGTCGTTTCGTTGCTAATAACTTCCAGATTCTGAGATATTACGCCCCAAACACCAGATTATAGAGTAGCAGCTTTTATTTTCTACCTTACGTTTAGTTGTTTTGGTTTGGGTGCTACCCCGTCCGTTTTCTAATCGGATTCTAGCCTTCAGCGGCTCTTCTTTCACACCATCCGACCACGTGCATTAATGCATGTTTGATTCTGTTTACTGGTTATAACGACTGTTGTGTCTTACCTTCACGACGGACTTCAAAAGTAGCTTGTGGAACTTGGCCGCAGCAACCACGCCACCATAAGCAAACAAAAACGCTCTCAGCAAAGTAAATAACGAATTGAGACAGGCCAACTCAATATATATCTTCAAATACGAATGCATTTCTTCATCATATAATGATGCTGGCGACATGAGAATTTCCCGGTCAAGCAAAATGGTATAATTTGTGCTATTGGTGGCATTGTTGATGTCGCTATCTGTGACCCAATGTGCCAACCACCAGTCGGTCATGTTTCTCGAAAATTGCATCACGGTTACCTGAAAAAAATTGGGCGTATTTCGGACGTGAATTCTTTATTTTCAATGTCAATGTGTTGTGCCTACTTTCAAGACCGGTCTTACTTCCTTAAGCCAGAAAATTGACTTTTTGATTTACTTATATGGGTCAAAACTAAAATTCCACGACCTTGTTTGGCGGGTCATATCTCAGATCAAGCTCAGTCTAGACACGCGCTCAAAGTTTGAAGTTTAGTTTTGATCCACATACATTTTCCAAATAAGTCAACATTATATTTTTTATTCACTTGTGGACTTATCAGAAGAAGTAGTCCAGAATTTCGAAACAGGTACGACAAATTTTGTGCAAGAGAAGTAAAACTCACCGAAATCAGAACGCAAATACTGAGAATATGCCCAGCAGCTCTCCAGTACGAAGCGTAAACTCCGAACTCCAAACTTCCTTTTTCACTGTGCTCTTCTGATAACACATCGTCATCATTAACAATTTCCTCCATCTGCGTGTCAGGAGGTGTGGTCTCCATTAGTGAATTTGTTATTGAGGGAGAGTTTGAGAGTGAATTGCTATCATCTAGCTCTAGGTCTATCTGGAGGCTGTCGTCAAATTCTCCCAATACGTCAGCTGGTTTACCTATGAAGAAAATGTTCACTTGTACTGTCAAAATGACCTTGACATTTTGATACTCCAAAGCCAATGGCAAGTTTCCGTTATGTTATTAAAAGCACATGCCTTTGTTCGGATTTCTGAGGTCATCTTCAAGTTTGTGATGGTTATATTTCAAGATCAGTTTTAGATCAAATGTTTAAAGCTTTACTTTGGGCGAGATATTGGTTGGTTTAAATTCTTTCCTCATTACTCTAATTCGATAGATGCAGGTATCAATTTGCCAATAGAATAAAACTAACCGATAGATTTGATGGCCCCATTCTCCAGGAGTCCTATTCTATCAGCATACACCAAGTACTTCACGTGATGAGTACATAGAATTCTAGTTTTGTTGGAGAGCAGCCCCATGATGCAGTACTGGAAGATGTGCCTAATAAGACAAAAACAGCCTGATTATTTTCAAAATTACAAAATCCAAATGAGCTGACCTTGCAACCTTCGGATCTACCGCTGATAGTATGTCATCAAGAAGATAGACTGACTTATCTTGATATACAGCTCTTGCCAAAGCTACACGAGTCTTCTGTCCTCCAGACAGGGTGGAACCACTATCACCTACACCTAAATAAAGGGTATATTAAAATAAACTAGCGTACAATATTTGTGTGTTGACTACTTCCTACTTTAGCTGTATCCCACCTGCAACATATTTCGTATTTTCCCTTATGTAGACACGTACAATGTAACTAAAATAATCTCAAAATGCCTGAAAATTGATCTTTTGACGCACTTAGTACAGATGATGAATGTCTTAAGCAACGCGAAACATAGACTTGTGTGCCTTATTATCTGTTTTACCGTATGAGCACTTCAAAATAGAGAACTAACAAAAACCATACCTTTTCAATAATTTTATCTTACCCGTCATGTCTCCAGCTGGTAGATTTTTGATGTCTTCGGAAAGACCACAAGCATCCAAGACAGCTTTATATCGGGAATCTTCGTAAGGTCTACCAAATAGAATGTTTTCTCGTATGGTACCTCGTTGTAGCCAAACTTTCTGAGGAACGTATCCGAACCCTGCATATCGTTATACCGGGTGTTAATAAAGTACATGGCCAAACTTCAGACGGCTGTCTTAAAAAACTTCATGTAAACTTTTTATATTTCGTTTTCGCTAAAGTCGTAAAATTCACTTTGGAATTAAGTACATAGATACAGAAGTTGTGTCATGTACCTAGAGTGAATCAAATAGAAAACCCATAATCAAAATCAACAAATCCTCAGAGGAAAGAACAGTGCTGTCCATTTTAATAACGCTTTCTCAGATTTACAGATTAATCGACTTTACCACGGGATAATCGCTTTTTCGAAAAAGTTTTACTGGACCTATGTTTATGAGAACCTATCGTCTTAAAATCGCCCCATAAAGTTTGTCATTGACACCTGAGTCTTTTTTCATCAGACAGAGTTTGGATGAAAAAAGTACGGAAAGCTTATAAAATACAGAGATCCCTGCATCTGGGTCATTACTATTCTTTAGAAAACATACGAAACACTTTATTTATTAACTTTTCCGAGCTCAATCCGATAATTTGTCACTACCATGGATAAAGGTCACGGCCATGGCAATATTGGTTCTATGGTCATGACTCCTATGGTTGTGACGATTTTGATCGTATTTCGCCAAATTTAAAATCTGTTAAGTGTAAATTGTTATCTAATTTGTACGATTGATGACAATTCTTGCCCAACTAATGCTACAAGTAAATATTGTTTTTAAAAGATTATATCCTGCCAGTGTTTAAATTGTTGTGGAAAACACCTATTTCATGAATAGTTACTTAAACGAAGGGTTCGAATTAAATACCTATGTATGCGACGGCAAACATCTAATTTTCGGGTCAAATTCCTGTAGATATTACTCCGAAAAGTGCTTTCTACATTCATAAACCTCCAGTCTAATCTCGATTAGCAACCCTTAGGCTGGCAGCCAGCCCTCTCTGGTTGGTTTGTATAGTGGCGTATCCGACACAAAGCGATCGGAAGGGTTGTAAAGGGAAAGGATATGTGGCGGGTGGTTGTGTTAAAGATTCACGATCCTGCATCGATGTGTTTAACAATTCGATGTACAGCAGCTCAATTAACAAATTGAACTCCTGCTATCGGTGCCGCGTATCAAGGGCGTACAAAAAGGGGCCAGTAAAACGGCTCGAAATGGACTGAGACCTACTGGAACAAACAACAAAAAGCTGACGGTTCTACTGCTGGCTCTCATAACACCAAAGTATCCTTGAAGAAGCTTTGAGCTTCAAGGAAGACCTAATGAGAACTGCAGACCTGGGAATAAATAAATAAATATCGTTTATTGCCCAGTAGTTAAGGAAACATTCTACAGGACAATCCTAAGAAAATATAAATCAAACTATCAACAATAGAAAACACACAAAAGGCTTGTGATTCTATCTAAAGGAAAAACAAACAAAAAAAAGATGCGAAAAAACATATTTCACTCAAGTGAGACAGATCCATAAATTATTTAAATAATTCCTAGCTGCTCCTAGAAACTGTCAGGATGTAATTGTATATCACAATAGTAGATACGTATTAATAAATAAATAACTCTCGTTACACCAGGCTACTAAAGCATCAATATCCCGATGAAATGCAATACAAATTTTAAATCATCCATAAAGAGAAGCTGATTACAACTTAGACATTGGGCAATATCGTCAATAAATAAGGTAAGCAATGAAGGACCAAGGTTTGAACCCTGAGGCACTCCCGATCCAGTTACATATAGGTACGATGAGATCCCTGTATAGAGAATCGAATCTGGGACACACTGTATAAGCAAGGTTCCTAGGTATTTCGAATTTCATCGTTTCACGTAGAAAAAAAATCACTTTGATAGAGCTAGGTGGAGGATCTCAACAGTATTGGCCACTCAAAACATACATAAATATGTAGATTAACTTATGTTTGAATTGCAAATCATTCCCTCAATTCTACGCCCTTGCTTATCTCCCTAACTTACCTGACTCAATCTGGCTAATTGCGACGTTGCCCGCATGTAGGGGCAGGTCGCCCATGAGGGCACACAATAAAGACGATTTCCCGCTGCCCACGGGACCAATAATACCCACGAACTCACCCTGGAAACGGAATATTTTATCACACATCATGTACGTTTTGATACGTACATAAAAAGTATATTTCATTACAAGAAAAGGAAAAAAGAGCTTTTAACGTTAAGAACTCAGTTACGAATACACGAATACGAAGAGTTCCAGAGTTCCACATTTTCGTGCCACAAATTTCGAATGCGAGACTCCAGAATGAGACATAAGTACAATTATCTGGCAACATCACCATGATGTATATCCAGGCAACATGTATACTGTCAGTTGTTTTTGTGAAAGCAATAAATGAGAGCATTAAGTTGACTCTGATAAAAACGGACGCGTATTCTTTTCAACCATGTTTTTTCGCATTTTCCTCATTTCCCAAGTATCCACTGCGAACAAGTTCAACACAGAACACCCCCTGGCATACCAACTCCTCACTAACCTTCCTGATCTTGAGACCCAGTCCCGTTAACCTGAACACCCCTGCATCTCCTTCCTCTACAACATGTTTCTCCACAGTCTTTCTCTTGTCCACAGTCAGTGCTGACCTTTTACCCTTTCCTTTGCCCTTGGCGCTGCCCCTCTCGTTGTTCTTCCCCTGCAGTGCGTGCAATTGAGCTTTCTCAGCGGTACTCAACTGCTTACACCAGCTGAATCCGCCGCTTTCCACCAGAATGTCACAGTTTTCCTCTGGAGGCTTGTCGTAGAAGGTGTCTAGGTCCAGGTTCGGAAGCTGGAAGAGAACAATGTTTCTCCAATATATTTTTAATGGTATCTTCTTTTATCTTTTTTTCTTAACTGTTAAAGCCTTACTCACATCAAACAGCTTCTGCAACCTCTTGATTGACACCCAAGCCTCAGTGACCCCATTCAGCACCCAAGGGAAGGCATTTAGCGGTCCAATGAGCATATTGAGCAACGCCATTCCGGTGAAGACCGTTGCTGCAGTCAGTCGGTGACCTGTCAGCGAGTAGACTCCAAAAGTGAGGATTGAGATGATCACAGGGGTTGCCGCCCAGAAGTAGACGCAGAGAGCGTCCAGGTATTTGCGGCCTTTGAGGTATTTCAGCTCCTGGTCACGCAGCTCTGGAATCAAAGAGAAATGGTCATTCCGCTCTTCAATGTTCTGATACTGTGATGATTGCACGCATAGACAATGTAGCTATAAAAAATCTCGGTGGTTAAAGATGTGTTGTTTCACCATACCCCAATGTGACCAAAATGTTTAAGGTATAGAGAAATTGTAGTTTTTTCTATCTAGCTGAAAATTGGTAAAATTTGTTCGTTTCTTAAATAGAATGTCCTATCTTTGACAGTCCGCCACTACGCCATTTAAAAGAGTGAATTGATACTCTAGGTCAGTAGTCGCGAACCCGTTGATCGCGAGCTACCGATAGCTCGAAAAGGCAATTCTGGTGGCTCACAACATATTTTAAAAAGGTTTAAAAATCCTAGAAGCTTCCGTAAATTTTGTAAATTCTCATAATAAACACAAGCAGCGGCAACACTGCGGTGAGCGATCTGTTCGAGAACGATCTCGGTGGGTTAGTGTTGGCCTGCAGTTAAAAACATTATGAGCAGTAGTAAGATAAATATTGTTTAAGTTTAACAAATTTTTTTTTAAATTTTGGACCATAGTCGTGGACCTTGTACACATCTATGATCCATAAGGAATTTATTGCAATAAAAAATCGAAATACTTACCACCTGCAAGCATCGAAAGTCTGCAGGTAAACAAACACCTTGTACTTGATGTATACGATACTAAGCGTCAAAGCGAAATGAAGATTCCTACGAAACGCGATGCGGGCCTGAAATGTTTTACTGGAGACTATCAGCTTGCGTCTAGTCTCTTTACTTAATAATAGATGTCGCCATAACATGATCTACAAATGTTTTGAAAATATACTGCTTTGAGAGCATAGTTGTGGGGCAGGACTAATGTTGTGTTAAATTACGGTATTAGTTTATTTTTAAGTTTATTAGTATGTATTAGTATTAGTAAAATAAACACATGTATGTCGCATACAAGTGTGTATAATTTCCTTTAAGTTGGCTCACATTGCTCACTGTTTATACTAATATTATCAAAGTAGCTCAACACACTAAACAGGTTGGCAATCACTGCTCTGGGTTTATGAAGTACTGCTGAGGAACTTAAAAATGCTGACAAATCACGGTAAATATCGAACGTATACTTGTATCCTGCTGAACTTTTTCCGTAATTTGTGGCAATATATGCTATCATATGCTAGACCATCACTGATCTATTTTCCTACTGAATGGGGACAAAAAACTGCTTCCACGGCTCAATTCGCCCCATTCCGATAAGAATATACGATATGCTCCTGTTAACTTCCGTCAGCTAATACAAACAAATAAATAAATTCCCAAGCAAACTAACAAACTTCGTTTTCGTGCCGAACGTTGCGAAATAACCGGGAGTTTAAAAGAAAACTTCAGCAACAACTTACTGGTTATCAGCCTGATGAAATGCTGTTCCCATACGTAGAGTTTGACTGCTCGAATGCCCCTCAGAACTTCGGTAATAATTTTTACCCTGGCATCTTTCTGCTCCATTAGTTTGGTGCTTAACTGGCCGATTTTGTTCGCAATCATTTTGTTGATCGGGATCAGCAGGATGCTAAAAACCAGTCCTGCGAGAAAGGCTAGGCCTACTTGGGTGTACAGGAGATATAAGGTCACTCCAAGCTGAAAATAAAATTAACCCCGTTTTCAAGAATCAATGCAAAATTCGAACGTAATAATGATATACGAGGGTGGTCCCAGAAGTACCCGCCCTGATCTAGAGATGGCGATAGTTGTTTGAAAAATATCAATGTATTAGAAAGTATGCAACCTATAAAGCATATGTGTCAAGGTTGAAGTATTTTAGTATTTGTTTGGCAGCCATCAATACTGAACGTTTTCAGTGAATGTGTGAAAATGGACAAAATTGGTCATCGTTGTGTGGTACAATACTTTTATTTCAAAGGCCTCAGCCCAACCAATATAAAAGCTGAACTGGATTCTACTCTGGGTGAGTCTGCTCCTTCATTTACAACAGTAAAATATTGCGTAGCAGAGATTAAGCGAATCCGTATGATCTGCCAAGACGAGCATCACAGTGGTCGACCAAATGAGGTGACGACTCCAGAAATGGTGAATAAAATTCACAAAGCGGTACTGAATGATCGTCCACTGAAAGTGCGCGAGCTAGCAGACATAGTCGGCATTTCAAAAAGTGCGGTTCATCGCATTTTATCTGAAAATTTCGACATGAGAAAGCTGTGTGCAAGATGGGTGCCGCGATTGCTCACAATCGAGCAAAAACAGTGTCGTGAAGATGTTTCAGTTGAGTGCTTAGCGAAGTTTCACAGCAACAAAGCAGGGTACTTCTGGGACCACCCTCGTATGTCAACATCTTCTACCTTCCACAAATATAAAAAAAAAATGCCCTAGAAATTTTGGAACATGGTTCGATGATGATAATAAATTAGCAGCCTACAAACTTGGTTACTGAATTTTCTTTAAATATATCGCAATGTTTCACAATTTTATTTCTGTCAACGAAAAATCACTTCAGATCGGTGATAAATCACCAAGACACAAAACATAGAAATTAAAGTGTTGCTTCACTGCGGTCACATAAGAAATGACATCAAGTAGTTTGACTTTGTACTCCCCACACAATCCATATGTAAAACAACTCGTTTAACGTCTTTTTGAAATAATGAGCTGTTACTATACATACTATACTTGACTCCGATTGAAGAAAAACGTTGTGACAAAGCGTTTTCTTTACCTGAAAAGGGATGCTCCACAAGGCATGGAAGCTGGGACAGGAATTTACTATTCGATCCGTATCTGTAGACATAAAATTCACAATTTCGCCTACGGAAAATTGGGCAGTCAATAGTGAAGACCGTACTGACAAAGTTTTTCCGTAAATCGCTGTGATCAAGGCTGCACGCATCCTTATGCCTACTAAGGCCATGCGAAAGTTGAAGTGTGTGTCACATAGGGCAGCTAAAAGAGAATATTGTTAAGTTTCAGAACATATGATAGAACTAACTACCTAACTACATGCTTCTCTTGCCAAATGCAACCACATATGTAGACCTTTCTAAGTATAGATCAAAATGGCAGTGCTATTATGTACAATGAAAAAGTTAACCGTGGTAACCGAAACGTCAGCAAAAAGTAACACATTTGGTTTCATTTGACAATTTTTGGGCTATTGTCTTTTAGTCACTGAAACTTTGCTGTAATGTTACTTTGTGAAGATGTGTCAGTAACATTTGACATAACATTTCCTGTATAGATATCCAAATCAAAGTTCTGTTTATTGCTTTTTCTGACATCATAAACAGCTTTGACGTTATTTTTAAAAGGCTGCTTCCATGTTTAATAGTAAATAATAGAACAGAAGATATGCGTCGAAAAATTATTGAGCAATTTTTTTTTGCATCTGCCTTCGCAGCCCTGTACAGTGCATGCCATTATCAGAACATAGCGATCTTCAAAAAATTGTTACAATGACTCAACTTTTAGAGATTAAGGGTTCTTGGAAGACTGAGTCGTTTAAGGAATGGCCTTGAGGAACGTTCAAGGAAGGATCTGATGGTATTTCACATTTTTAGGCTGTAACAGCGGTGACAGGTTTTCAACGAAATTTTCAAAATTACCAAGCTGTCAAAGTCTAGAACTAACATGTCGAGAATCTTGAAAATTCTGTGAAAAACTGTACAGTTCAACGAGAAAGTCGTCACGTTAGTAGCTAAGCAAACAGCGCTCACGTAGCCTATGTTCTAACGAACGTAATTATTGTTTTTTGTTACAAATTTGACATAAAGAAAAATAAGGACTCGTGTAGGATTCGAACCTACGACCGCCACGAAATTCAAATTTAGTGTGCCGCTCTAACCACTGAGCTAACGAGCCATGCACTTGTTGTTTCTATTATCGTCCAACACTTTTAAGCATGCATATGGAGATTAAATAAACACGCAAACTGATGATCAATAATGGAGTGTGAATCATTATTCAGTAATTTTCAAACAATAATCATGAACCAAACACGTAGCGCTATTAAAGAAACGCAGTAATACATGGACGCCGTTTGAGGGGTAATAGCATCAAAAATAGGAGTTCGAATACTTGGAACATTTCATATCACTATTTTTTTATTTGGTTGTGAACGAACATCGATTGTAGAAAAAAAATACTACACCCAAAGATTTCAGAAACAAAGTCTGTGAATCTTTAGTTTTCGATACATTCCTAATCCAAGAACTTTTAAAGCTCTATGATGCTGTTATATACAGGACGTCGATAAAATAAGGGATAATCCTGGAGCTACCAATAGTCCTCTGCATATATGGCATACATTTAAATTTAGTAGAATTCTGGTAGTTCTTGAGATTTTCAGCATTTTATGAAAAACTGGACCGCTTTCAGTTGATCTCGTGTGATTTCTATAAATATTAACTTTGGACCAGGTTTGCTTTAATACAATCACATTTAGGTGTTCCATTCCATTTATAATTTTTTTCTTAAAAGGGCGAGAAACAGAAATTAATCCATAGTCTAAATTTTAATGAAAACCGCTTTCACGTCTCACTTTCACACCAGGTAGTATAATAGGAAGGTTCGACATTTTTCGTATTTCTCTTAATTAAAATCTAGGGATTTTGTGATTAAAAAACGGTCAAAGAAATTTCAGTGCAAAATATTAATATGTACGTCGACGGAAAGCATTTTAAAATCAAGGATCGACGCGAGGCTAGAAAACGTACCTGTACACGAGACTAGACCGCGTGACGTCAGTAGCCAGACACGTGCTGTCGCCCTCATAGAGTACTTGTATCTTGTATTGTCTTGAATACGGAGTGAAGAGTATACGAATTTATATAAACTGGGACAGACGTTTGTGTACTTTATTTATTTGTGCTAGCAGCGGTGGCAGGCAGCAGCGGTGGCTAGGCAGCAGCGGTGACAGGCAGAAGCGGTGGCCGCAGTAGTTGACTCTTCGGTCTCCTGATCAGTCGCCGTGCGCTGTGCGGGTTCGAGTCCCGTCCCAGGAGAAATTTTTCTCTTGACTATGGATGTTGTGATTGTCCGTAGGTGGTAGACGGTCTCTGACTGTCGAACGCGGAGGTACCACACGGCGGATCTCGTAGGCGGAGCCAGAATCTGTGCATGTTGCATGCACACGTGTTCCCTCGCCAGAGTCCGTGTGGCGTTCTCCCTTTCCCCCTATAGCCCCACGGTACCCAATGGGTGCTTAGGCCTTAGGCCTTCGTGGTAGTTGGAGTAAAAAAAAGCACAATGCTCCAAGGTTATCAGAAAGCTGATTCGCGAAAGTTACCCCGTGTGAATGTGGAAATGGTTTACTAGTTTTTGGCAAATAATGCAAAATTAAATGAACCACAGAGCAGCGGTGTTAAAGTAGTTCGGTAAGTACCTATAACGTATGAAACTAATTTTTTTGTTCAGCTCCAATGGGTAGTATTTTTTGTATTTCTCCGCAAAAATTGATCCTGCTTTGCTTTAGTCTATTGAAAGCTAATAATATTAAGACATAATAATGCCTGCGCGAGACAATAATTTTGACGGCTATTTATCTCTGCTTTTTTCTTCCTAGGTAAAATATTATGGAATTTAAATTATCATACATAGCTGTTTACCTTGTTACGCCTATTAAGAGCCCCGAAATTTGTTCTTTTTCCATGTATAATGAGGCTTTATTACACTATTCCGAAGTAAAGTATGGTACCTAATATGTTTTCAATGAGAGAAATTCCAGGGATGTAGAGAGCATCTTATTTTTTTAAGGTCTATTGGGGAATACTTAAATTAGGGCAGGTAGTCACATTCTAGAATTTTATAGCTACTAAAATAACAAAGCTTAGGGCTGCATTCGGGGGATGGGCAATGAAGCCAGGTTCTAAACGTTGACTAATATTGCGCTTAGAATGACTACGATCTCGGCAGTAAGCTGGTTAGCTTCGCTGTCACTACTTTCAGTACTGCTTCCACTGGCTTCATACGAATCAGATTCGGATGTTTCTGTTATTGCGGGACTTTCAAGATTTGCCCGTTCACTCTCCACTTGCAAACGTTTTCTTGGCTGCTCTGAAGTCTGTTTAGCAATCGCAGGAATTCTTATTGGCGATACAGCAACATCCATCAATTTCCGTTTTTGAGAGATTAGAAAATGTACCTATTTGGTTTGGCATGCCTTGTCACATGCCTGTGACTGATCTTCTACTGTTAAAGGTTCAGGCAGTTCATCAATAACTTCCACGCCTTCAGGCTCGGACTTTTCGGTTGAGGGTTCCGCCCGGCATGCCGCCGCTGGCTGCAAATACTTGGCGATGTCTTTTTGCCTTGCCCTTTTTTCGCTGACACACTCGTTTCGTAGAGCTTAGTTGTCTACCCAGTTGATATGCAAATTTATGAGGTGCAATATTAGGATTCAACCGGGCTCGTATTGAAGATAGTTTTCCATGTCTTTTTCCAGGTCAACATGATCTTCGCAGCAGTACATGGTCGACGTGGAAGAAACTGATTTTACATCCCGTCGAGCTGCGTCAAACCACGTTTTACGTTGTGCGGCAGCTTTTGGAACACTCATAATTTTTTTTTGTGGTGTTGTACTTGACATACTTGTACATTTTGGCACAAAACACCACTTTATGTTCGATATTTAACACCGTCAAAGTTCACAGAATTTAACAAAAATCTATCGTACTAGCTCTAACTATTCCAAACCGATTACTGGGGCGTTGTTTTGAAACTGGTAAATAAATGCAGCGCGCGTGCTAGCGAGGTGTGTCTGGCTACTGACGTCACGCGGTCTAGTCTCGCGCACAGGTACGTTTTCCAGCCTCGCGCCGATCCTTGATTTTGAAATGCCTTTAGTCGACGTAAATATCAATATTTTTTGCTCAATTTTTTTTATCGTTTTTTAATAACAAAATCTCTCGATTTGAGTGAAAATCAAAAAATGGCGAACCTTCCTATTATTGTAATTCACACTTTGCTGCTATACTCTTTTAATTTTATGAAGGACATATTTTGCAAAAATCAAGAATAGCCATTTTATTATTAATGTCTGAGTTCAAAATTTGCTGTTATAGATGCACTACATTTTTTCATACAACATTTTATCTACAAGAAAAGCCACTAGCATCATTGAGAGAGGTACAACTTTGGAACGCAATTTTGTTACCATGAGTGGTTTGGACTTTATTTTTTCTTGTGACAAGCGGAGATTCCGTGATTTATGTCCTATAAACTTACATATAGCGGTTGTAGCCACCAACCCAGCCGCAAAAATATATCCATATTTAACATCCTGATCCTTGTTTTCTATGAAACTAACCAACTTGTTCAGCAACATTGGGCCCGCAAATCCAGCACAATCCGCAATGAATTTCAAAATACCAATGCTGTAGAATTGTGCCCAGAAGCACCTGTGCAAACCTCTTAAAAGACTTGTGGTTTTTTGTCTGCTCTGCATGAACCTTACATTAGGGAATTCTGCAAGCGATATATCTACAAAAAATAGTAAAATTGTCATTATCCTAGCTGGAAAGTATTTAAGTTTTTATCTTTTCACAAACTCATTCCGATTTTGAAAAATAAAATAAATTGGCCATATTTCTAGTTTCTTTTACTAAGTGCTACATCCACGATGTGAAAAATCCCTATTCGCCAGGAGCGAAGTGCATAGTGGGGGAACTAAATCGAAATATACATCCGCTAGATGTGAAGGATTAAGGACAGAGGATCTTCAATGTTTCAGTTTAACTTCTGATTGATACAGATGTCCAAAATTATTATATCAGCCAACATTTTTTTAAAATGGATAGTCAAATTTTGCGAAATCATTCTACGATTCAAGTCTGCAAAGGTAACATTCACCCCAAGATTCAGCAATATGCTCCATTTTAGTGAAATAAAAAAACGGCAGCCTCCGGTGTTCTCTCTAAATATGGCACTGCACTTGGTGTAAATTATTGAAATCTAATGTTATCTTAGAAATTGGAGGTTGGTCAGAATAGACACTCCGTTGTCACATCACATCACATACAATATCGACTTCAGTGGTATTTTTTAAGTAACTCCAACCCGTACATCAGTAATCAGTGGACTGAGTTCGTTTCCAGTTGTTATGTCGCTTTTAATCACAGAGAACAATTAAAGTATTGAATATCCAAATTACACATCTGGTGACTATAGGTGAATGCGAGGTCTGTAAATTGAGTGATGAAACTTGCAACGTAGCGTTCAGTACAAGTTTGAATTCGCCCGCGTCATTTGGTTGTTCGAAGCGATTTTTTTCGTTAAATACATAGTTTTTTCTATCGTGTTCTAAAGGTGAGTGACATCAATTTCGAGCAACGAAGTGCTATCAATTTTTGCTTCAGACTTGCGCACAGTGCAACGAAAACGCTTGCTAAACTTCGGAAGGCCTAGGGAGATAGAGCCCAGATTTTTCGGTGGTTTACGGCATTTTCAAGGGAAAGAGTCGATTGATAATGAACCACGACGCGGAAGGACTTCATCGTCAAGAACCGATGAAAATATCGAAAAAAATCTGTCTGTAAAATAGTGACAGTGTAACATGGATGTCTGTAATTGCTGATGTATAAGATTCCCTAAAAATCGCTTGGTACCATAGAATGATGATAGGGATCACAGTAAATACTGAACTTGTGGCATTGGCCTTATCCACATCCTCAACTTTCTGCACGTTTCCTTGCGAAACTCTAACATTAAAGTTCACAATAATGTTAAATCAAAAAATACAAATACATATGGGGTACGCTGCCAAAGTTTTATTAATACTTATTCGAAAAAAATGGTAGAAAACAATTGACATCCAAAACAATAACAAAGGAGTTAATTTGGCCTATCGGCTTTATTATCAGCTTTTATTCAACCTATCTCTCTATCTCGATTCCTCATCCCCAAATTACCTGCTCTCAGTTCCGTATCAGCGCCATCATCCAGAGCTAATTCTTCAGCCAACCTGAAGCTTATGTGCGTACTATTCAATGATTCAGGCAAGTCAAAAAGATCATCACAGTTCTTTAGCGATTTCTCCACTCCTTTCTGCATCAACGGATTCACCCAACAAAAACACAATCTTGACAGCCAATGAGCATCTTCCATGGCCACCCCGAGATATCCTGGATCACCTTCCTCCGAAAATCTGACGTAAGCGTTGCCAGATAGCAGGGGGGTGTTTTCGTTCATCTGGATACGGGAAGATGTGATCATTTCAGAGGCAGTGTGTGTTATTTGTTTGGCTGTCCCAATATGTAGTTGGGCAAACCTAAACTTCTACCACCTGGTGCAATATTTTTTTGGAGATTGTAAAATTTCAAAGTCCTTGGTCGAACAGTTCGGTCTGGAGGCGCGCTTAAATTTTAAAATTACGGAAAAAAGTGTAAAGTGTGAATTTTAGCGTTTTGGTAAATTTTCTATTTTATCGTCATTGCTGTCCCTTGAAAGCATCAGACCCTATTATATTGCCCATGAAACTCAAAAATTACCTCAAAACTACGATCTGATAACTCGTTTGGCAGATGTTTCAGTGTTAAAATCACTCAACTTATTCCACAATACTTGACGAACACAAACTAATCCTCTTCTGACACAAAACTGTACTAAACTAATGTTCAAAAGAATTTGTCTACATATTTTTGTCCCTCTTAAAAAAGGGCTTATATTCAGACTTGTATTGTGTTGATTGCAGATAATGTAAAAACAAGGAAATTAGTTTTTTCTACTAATCACGCATTTGTTTATGGAGCAATGAAGTATGAATTCGTTTTTCTAAAGGTATTTGGGTGAATATTCATATTTGTCTATATACTTTTGTCCATTACTGTATGTTGAAGTACATTAAAATCACGAGATGGAAATCACGTTGAAAAAAAACAGTAAATAGCATTTCATATGACCAGGTTTTATTCCCTGCTTCATGTATTATCATTTATTTAATTTTGTTTCCACCAAAAAAAAATCGTGAATAATAAGAAAACTCACCTGACGATAGACGCTGGGATGCACATATTCGGCATTTCCTTCTCCTGGCATCATTGTGAATGCATACATTAAATGAGCCACCAAGTGGCATATGCTGAATTTATAAGCTAAGTAAATACTATAATCCGAATCGAACGAGTATTTATATACGAGATAGTGACTTCTGACCGAAACCACATTAAGAGCAAACAGTACAGACCAAACGATACATACGAAAATCGGCCCTCTAGGGCTCTTGCAAAGTCTTTTTCGTAAAGCTCTGATATACATGAAATGGGTGAACCACGCTATTCCTTGAGCGGCACTTAAAAAGTATGCGATCCACTGTATCCTGACATTCGCTCTATATTGATCCATATAAATCTGTATCAACGGAAGAAACGTCAGAAGTAATGCTACGTAACATCTGGAAGTCACAGCGAGTTTTTGCAATTTCGCTCTTATGACAAAGTTATCGTGTTTTCCGCAATAATAAGCTGACGATATTGCTAATAAAAATAAAGCCGGGATATGAAGAGAAAGCTGCTGGAAGCACAGTCCGAAGTCATGTCTTTGCGGGGACCAGATCACGAAACCCTCTTTGCCGCACAAATCCTCCCATACCCACCGCCACTGGTCGGTTAGAGCTTGATGTTCCATGGTCGGTAAGGCAGGAATCTGTAAAGAAGGGATTTGTTTTGACAGTATCCTGACAGTTGTGCGTTTCCTGGACTTTATAACCAAAATATTAGCTAAATGCTGTAAAATATATTTCGAAAGTTCTTGAATTTTCGAGCGAAACTCAGAGAGGAAGTGATGTGCTAAGTGATGAGTTAAGAAGTATGATGAATCACTGAATACAATAGCCTAAATGAAGGAAGGGCTATAATTTGCTGTATACTCACCAACAGTGCTACGGGATCATCATACTGATTAACATATTTTTTACAGTAAGTATGATGGGACTTTTTTAACTTTCCACATTTATCTAATCACTAACATTTATCACAAATATTGCACAGCTTTTAATAATACGATCCCACAAGTTTGACATTTACAAATGCGCGCCATCTGCAGCGAGAATCTTGAAATATGTGTACGATAAGGCGACCCTTGAAGAGAAAACGGTGCCAGGGTAATGCTAGGTACAGACCAGGCGGATAGATGCCGCGGCATATACTGTGATCGAAACCGTACGTACCAGAGCTGTCCGATAAGTATATCAATATACAAGGTGCCCGTTGGTTTTGCCTTTTTTTGGTATTACCACTGATTAATGTACTCTCTAAGAAGGAAAATGAAATCCCATAATCATCAACCACAATCGGAGAAGTGGCAACCCAGACACCTAAAGATGGTGGTCTAGATGTATATATATATATATATCTAAGACCAAGTGGTTGACGCCACGTTATATGATCTTGTTTTGCCGCATGCAGAGCTTTCAATTGACTCAAGTCCATTTCTACCAACATCCTTTTTTTAATGAGAACGTTGCATTAAATGTAGATGCTTATTCTGGTAAACACCACGAAATATATGTTCATTGCATAAATCAGTGGTTTTTACTCGCACAACTAGACTGGGTCATTTCAAAAACGGTATCAGTATATACGTATTGCTGTTTTTTCATATTTTCGTACAAAAATATCAATTTTAAATAGACCCACTACAAAAATTAAGATTCGACTTGCCCGAAATCACATGTTTAAGAGTTTTTTTTTTGTTTCCTACCAAAACCACCAAGTGGAATTTTCAATAATAAGCAATGAAAAATATGATATAATATAATATAGTATGTATAACATAAGTCCATAATAGCTAATGCTAATAAATGGTTCAAAAGAATCACTCTAATCGGCCTCAATTTTCCTAGCAGTTTTGTAACATTTATTGCCCTTATTTTTTGCAGATCTCTAAAATATGACTATGGAGGTAGAAGACCCTTCATCAGATGACCAAACGGTAGAGTCCGACATGCAAAGAGACAGTATCTTGAATTTCCTTACCCTCAACGAAGAGATCTGTTTCAAAAATCAGCAAAAATGGGAGCCCGATTTGACGACGAAAGAAAAGTACGACATAGCTTTGAACGTGTTTCGAAACAGCAAACTAAATTTTCTGTTGAGGTTTGGAAAATACTTGAACCAGGAGCATCTGACTTACTTCAGGAGGTTCACAGAACATGGTGAACCAGATTGTGCAGAAATAGAGCTAGTTCTAGGTGACCTGTCGAAAATTTGCTCCTCAAACTCCAACAACAAGTTGGTGAAGAATAGGAGATACGAGGCCATGAAACAAATGATTCAAGATGACCTGTATTTCAGTGAAATAGAAATGATGAAAAGAAATCCGTTGTTGTATGAACAGTTGGTAGGTCAGTACCTCACAGATGACGAAATTAGGGAAAGGGATAAGTACAAAATGGACGACCAAGTGACATTTGTGAAGATTCTGATGGAGGGCATTGAGAGAGATAATGCGGAAGCGTACAGGTAAGGCTCTAGGTTTCTTATATAGTAAGTATACGATTTGTTTGTAACCAAAATTACGTAGTCACTAGTCAGGGTGCAAGTTCATACTACAAGTCGGTCAGGCTTAAGCCGCCAGTTAGACAGTTGCTGACGTTTCACATTAAATACGTAGTTTTTTAAAAAAATATATAGAAGTGCGTGGGTTCCATACAGTCCTAGTGTTCCAGACAATTGCCGAAAATGGTGAAGGTTTCTCTGGATTGCATAGAGCAAGTTAATCAAAATGGAAGCAAAAAAGAGAACGAGTAGATTCCATGCTAGGTGTCCCTCTATATTAAATATCAGGCTTTTGTACAAATTTAGGCTAAATTCAAGCAGTACTTTTCAAGATATAGGCAGCCCAAAGAAGTGATCAGACCTACAGATAGCCAGACAGACCGAGTGACTTAGTTTCCATCATTTATATGTCAAACAAAAAACATATTTCATTTTCGAAATTTTATGCCATTACAATTCGTCCTCGCCAGTAGAAGTAAAAAATAGAAAAAAGGAAATGACAAAAGATTTTGTCTCGAAATCCTTCTTTTCTAGAAGTTTAAGATTAGAATTGCCGCTTTAAGTTACGTATTCTATTCGTAAAAGATTCATAATCGAAAAACGACAAAAGCAAGAAAAGAACATGTCTTTGATTGTTGAAAGTTATTTCATAATTGCCTTGTAATAGAAAATATAATGCTACTTTAAGTGAAGTATGGAATTGTTACTTTATTACAACATCCCTTTCTAATAAAATAGTAATAAGCTGCTTTATTTCCAAGTACCTGATATTATTTTCATATCCTCTTTTTGTAATAGTCATATTCTCAAGATATTGGTATGAAATGCAGATGCGCATATTTGCGACTTCATACGTCTGATTCTTTTGTCCAGCTTTCATTTCTGGTCCAACCTGGACCGCGTTGATCATTGCCAATAAGCACCATTCTTTACATCATTTATTTCTTTCCCATCCTTTCAGGAAACTTCAAGCGGAATCCGAGGACAATCAAATGGAAGAAGAAGATTCTGACGATGATGAAGATGAAGAAGATAGAGAGAGAAAAAATACCCCAAGTCCGATACCGTCATGTTCAAAATGGGGCGAATTTGATGTGAAAGATGAGTACCATGTACCCAGAAGTGGGCCTAAGAGACCTCAGCATTGTACTGCTATAACTGCTCAAGAGAGACTACTTTTGAGGGAAGAGTTTGTGTCATCCATGTACCAGAGCTTTTTGGACGGGAAAGATGATTTCGACTACAGAAGAATTGATAACGATTCCTCATTGGATAATGCGGATGAGCTGGATCATGATGCCGAAGATAAATATTTTGAATCGGAGGAAGCTGAAGAATGTGATATGCAAAGAGAAGATGAAAGCTCTGAAGATGAGTTTGATATGTTTATGAATCATATTAATCAACACCCTGCTGTGTCGGAGCTTACTAGAAATATGAAAAATAGCAATATATGAAAATAAATTGTTCGACCGTTCGACTTGTTCTTTTTTTTTTGAGAGAGAAAGCACGGTTGAAGTATAGCAAACGTCCTTGTTGTGAGTCAAAGCTGGTGCCGTATTTGTAACAGTCGTGCTCTTTTCAAATTTCAGCTAAACTACTTTCAGATGTCACAGACACTATAATGCGCCATTTTTGTTATTTTCTCGATATCAAAGCTGGTGGCCTAGAAAAATTATTTGGACAATGAACTGAATTTATACGAGTATCGGTATCCTGAAGCACGTCGTTTGAGTATATGTAGTACCTACTAAAAATATTCGCCAATCCAGAAAGATGTCAAATATTATTATTTATAAATATATAAATAGTTGTTAAAGCTACAAAATGCATAAATTGCCTTAGACTGCATAAATGACAGGTTCATTAACATTATATATTTTGCGGTTTATAAAAACTACATATAATATGGAAAAGTATTCCGTAATTGATATACGTTAATTATTTTTCTCTTCTGGAAAGATATGTACTTGATTAACTCTTGGTACATCCTAATACGAATAGTCTGCGGAAGCAGAAAACGTAAAAACAGTAGAGCATTTCTTTCTACTGAACTAATTCTGTGAGTGTATTAAATCTGCTGAATCTAGATCTGACTTCATTTTCATGTGCTAGTATATTTGTCTTTAAAGACAATCAAGGGAAGCTCTTCTTTGAGAGACATATCGAATTTTGAACCTCTCGCACACAAATACATACGAAATGTGTTCACACTTGTTAATTGAACTTGTGCGACCTTTCTCATTTATTTTTGAAGTCTTAGATATTCCTGTTACTCGTGTAATGCGTTTATTCTAGAAGTCGTATCAAAGTATTTGTATCTCCTACAGAGCACTTCACAGCAAAGTTTATTCGAACCTTTCATGCCTCAAACACCCTAGCAGTATACAGGAAGACTATTGGGACAATCACAGTTTTGCAGAATATTCCCTGATGAATAAATGAAGTTCAAGATTTTAAACCTTTTATTAATAAAATAAAAAATAAATACGCAAGAAAAATAATTAAATTTTCATTTTTCTTGCTTCCTCCACTATTCCCTTATGATACGCTTCTGTTGTAGCGTTCTCCATGTCGACGACTTGGTATCCAGCACCTAATTCAGTCTCCTTCTTATCACCACTCTTTCTTTCTAGGTCTTCCAAGTCTGATAAATCTATTGAACCAAGGCCCGTTTGCACCACATGCTTCAAGGTTTGCAAATTACCAGTTCTAGCTTTTCGGTCGGGCTCATCCAACTTTTGCTCCTCTTTTTTGAACCCATGCAGATGCTTGACATCGTAGTTTTTCTGATATCTATCTTCATTCCCTGGTATTTCGTTTGTTTCTTGGACATTGATACCATAGATCTGCTTTGAAGGCCCATAGGTCTTGACCTTTGAATGTCCCTCAATTATAAGATACATAGGTCGTTTGATAGGTTCCGCAGTTTGTTTGAGTGGTTTGAACATTGGTCCTGTTGTCAAAGTTGCAGTTGTCGTCGTAGTTTCTTCTGTTTTTATAGTAGATGTCACTGTAGTTGGTGCGAACGTTGTAGTATCCAAAGTGGAACTAGGTGGAATTGTTCCACCACCAACGAGTTTCATGATAGCTTCTGTGGTTTTTGTAAATACAGGTGACTCTGTTGGAGGCGGTGGATGCATCGTCTGCATATCTTCGATGTCCTCAACAGGAACTCTTTGAGGAAACACTCCCATGTTTGGAGGAACCAAAGGCATTGGTTGATGAATAATGCTGCCCATATCTACACCTATCCCAGAAGAATGTACTTCTGCTTCGGGTTTTCCTATTTTTACAAAGCCATTTGATACGACGTCATCAGAAACTTGGCCTTTGAACATGATCTCATTGTTTGGTTTTATGAGTGGTGGGGGTGTCACGTAGTTAATGTTTTGGTTGCTGCCAGCAGTTACCAAAGGCTTGCTGGACAGGTTGTTTGGAGTAAGAGGTGCAAACTCCTGCTTCACCAAAGGTTCTGGAGGTGCTAGGTGTGTGTTGTACACCAACTCGTCTCTAAAGTCAGGGATCGAGCCTTTGATAGGTAAAGTAGAATGCTTCTTGAACTCGTTTTCAGTACTGACACTACTTGAGTGGTAGACCAGGTTTGCTGTTTGAACTGTGACTCCATTGTTCGAGGTACTACTTGCTGGTATGGTCCTAGGTGTTGTTGGTGGAGATGACGAGAGGAAAATCATCGGCGTTGGAGTTATCTCTTCTCCATGTCCGGTTGTGACAGTAGTTTGAACTATTGGAGGAGGCATCAGCATTGTGTATGGCACCCTTTGCTCGGAGCCTTTAGAGAACGAGCCTCTGTCTGGAAATATCGAGTTCTTATTCTTCGAGAAGAGCTGCGGGAAGAACGACGTTGGAATCGACGGGATAAACGAAGGTCTTGCAATTCTTTGGTTGCTGCTATATTTCCACCCATCAAAGTATTTTACGTAAGGATCATAACTGTCCTTTCTGTCAGCGATTGCAGAGGATCCTGAAGCAGGTTTTTTCGATGTAATTCCCAGGAGGAGTATTTCGGTCTTTTGGTTTTCTGAAGCTGTGGCGGTGTCTGGTTTTCTGTCCGCTGGGTCTACCCAGTACTGAACTCTGTCTAGTACCGGTGGTACGTAGTCGTAGGTGGGGTCGTTCTTCAACGGGTCTCCACGGCCAAGAGGCTTCCATTGCTGATAGTCCATGCGAGGGGAGAAGATGCTGCGTTGGTTCTTGTCACCTGTAAGTAAAAATAAATAAACTTAGTATCATATTATCATTTATGGTTATTAGGATGAATGGTACATTGCCGCACAGTTTCTCAGAAGATTTGAAATCTACCTGATATGAATATTCCCTATTCTGTATAGAAGGAAGTGCAATTAACCAAAGTCCGAGATACCACTTAAGGCTGGATCATCATCCATTCCAATATTGGGAAAAATGGCGATGGGACCCAACGAAGTTTCTCTTACTTTAACCATAGAAAGCCAAGTCTGGAAGGTCCGCCTGGTAGGCTCAAAACGCGGCGGTATCATGGAGGAGATCTATGGGGTACAAAGCCCATTGGCATAGCGGTAGAAGATAGCAAGATCGCTAAACTCCCGCTGGAACGAAAGGGTCCCGAGACTGTATGTTAGAGATGTGTCACCGATCAGCCATCTGTACCGTACCGAGTAGGGAGCGGCAGAACCTCAAGCATGTGAACAGTACTCGGTCTGTCTTAGCTAGGTATTGCATTGAGGAGGTTGTGCGGAGAAAAGTATTTTTTAACCCTAAACAAATAACGTAGCTTTTAACTGGCAGCTGTTGCTGTTGCAAATTATATCCTCGGTGATCTGAGCTCCAACCAGCCGAAATGAATGGCTCTTTGGCAGAACTTGGTCATCCGTTAAAGCTGGATGAGCGCTAGGGCGTTTCTTGTTACTGTGACTGTCTCTGTTCCTGCCCGCATTTTCCACATAATGATGTTTCACTCATATCATACATATGCTCCTTTAGCTGACAGTGTGAATTTGCAAACTGAAGTTGTCTGGACATAGACCAGTAGTATTTTGCTGTCTCTTGGCTAGGATATCTGAGCAATTATGTAGCAAGTAACCAGCGACAGAAGTTAAATATTTTGTGGGTGTGCTCTTTTAGCGTAGATTTCATGGGTGCGATACGTAGAACACGAAGGGCTCTGAAGCCAGAACTCTGGTTTTCGCAGTCCTGAGTTTCATAGAAAGAAGGGAAACTGAAAACTTCGTATGGTGTAATCATCTACTAGAAATAGCAGACATACTCGAATTAATATTCTTGAACCCGTTGAAAGACTCACAGCCGAATGTTAATGTTTGTGCTATATGAAGGGTTAGTCTAGACCATTGTTTCTTAAATTGGGTGGTAACATCCACTTGTGGGCGCTGGGGACTTACGGGGGGTGGTAAAGGACCTAAAGGTATTGAATTGATCTGTTGAGAAACGCAACAGATAATTTTTATCCCCTTGCGACAAGAACATTCGTTCTCAGAATCACTGATGCAGACGACTCCCCATTTAGTTTCTAATCGCAGAATCCTCCTCCTCGAGGCTGCATTTTGAACAATTTCGGAAGACGCTAGAGAATAATTGATTCTCAAATTATGTAGTAGACGAATTTTGTTTTGAGAACGTCTGGTCTAGACACAAGGGCATAGGGACGTTTCTATGTTACAAATTCGTTCCCTAAATATTGAAATTGTATTTATCCCTACTTTCTTCTTATGACCAAATCACTTAAAATGCTAAAAAGTAGGTATTTTAAAAATCGTACCATTTTCGTTATCCTCTGCGCTGGAAATTTCATCAGCAAGCACCAGTTGAAGTATTGATACCAGGAACCAGAACTGAATCCATCGTCTGTTTCTGTTCCTCATTATCTGCAACAAAAAAAATCTGATAACTGATTTGCAACATTTTCAAAGTTCTCATGAAAGGGCAGTAAAACAAGAGATTTCTATGGTATTCCTCACAGCCTCTAATTTGAGGCGATTTCGTTATACCTATAGAATGATGGAAACAAGCTTTGCATTTTTATTCCCACGCCTACAACCAAGGAAATATTATGATCACGAAAAATTTCTAAACGAGATATTACGTTTCTTTAGTGTTGAACAAAATTCTCATACGACGTTTCTACTATGCCAAGCCCGAAAAATCTTTCCAGTAGCGACGGAGAACAATGCGATTAAGCTTTAGAGGATCCTAATTGCTTGAACAAACTTTATGGGTGAAATATTGGGGGTGGTGGTGGTATTGCAATTTTTCGAAGACGATATAAGTATTTATAACCTTCTGACCCCAGTAATTTTAAGCGCGTATTAGGTAAGTGAGAAACATTTTGTACAAGCGCGATATATGTTTACCTAAACAGCCGAAAACAGGAAAACGATGCCTCCGGGATATAACAATTACCAGGGTGATATAATTCATTGAATATAAATAATCAGTTAGGCTCACAACATCCAGGTTGTAAGTACTTATTTAGGTGTGACATCACGTACAGGCGTTCACCAGTCTTCTGAAGATATTCTGTGGAACGTCGAATCTCATCAATTTTAGTACTTTTTCTTCAAGCAAATAATACCAGGGTTTTCGAAATTTATTATCGATTGTTTAAAAAAAATAGCGCACAATACTTTTTCTCCAGTCATACTCGTATATTACATGACCATAGCCGACCATTAGTAAAAACCTACCTGAACGTTGATTTAGGTATTCAGACATTGATTCTAATATACATTCTTAATATGCGAGGGTACAAGGATTTTCGTAGCTGGAAAACAATAAAGACACCATAGCGTACAAGGATAATATACACGATGCACATTCAAAGTCCATTTGATCAGAAATGGGTGGGTGGTCGAGTTTCAATCTACTTGATGCCATTTTTTACTACGTGAGATCAGGAGCTATGACATGAACTTTTACTTTTTTTGTGATATTATTCAGATAACGGCGAATAATGACGGTATATACAGGAAAATGTCGATAACCCAACGGACTTGCCTAGTCACCACTGGAAACGTTAATCTTCAAGCTATTTTTCTCCATAGTCGCCAGTTTTTGAAGGAAGTCCGCCAGCCCGTTTAGAGACTTGGTAACTGCTCAGGGCCGTATGCTCCGCTGTTCGATTTTCGTCCGCCGGCGCGAAACGAAATGGTGGATTTTAATAAAAGATTTCAACCTTGTAATTCCTACTTCATCGGCTACAGATCAAACGGCTTGATAGATTTTCACATATGAGGGGTCGTTGGATTCGTCTTAGCGGTGAGAGTGACACTAGTTACATTGAAATTTTATAAAAACAAAAAGTTTGGGTCTTGTGTAAAACTGTGGAACTTCACGTCTTTGCAAAGATTCCGTTTAGATTGATTGTCGGAATTACATCTCACAACAGCATACCGCATTTTTATCAATTTGTCAACCACACATATAAGGTATGTATAACTGATACAACAAGTCACAAAACCACCAAAAAACACCAACAAATCGCACTATATAGTATTAACCACGATACACGTGAACTGCAGTAACGTTACGACAATCCTGCTGCTGGTAACCACGAGCCGATAACTCTCCGGGTGACGTCACGAAGCTGCGCCCACATTTTGCGTGCATAAATTCGCACGAATGTTGCACCGCGGTGTCGACAAAGAAGGGAACCATTGCATCCTTGTTGGGAGCGGTAGCGGAGGAGCCGTCAAACACAACGGTGTCGTATCAAGACTGTCATTTGATCACTGGTAAAATTTTAATTTCATGCCAGCCTTCAGGCTGTTAATACCATTGAAATTAATAATAATGTCTATTGCATCATATCGACAGCAAAGTTATTGACGTTTTCAATTGTGTTGCTCGTCCAAAGTCGAACAAGATTAGAAACTTTATTTCTCGCGGTGCCCTAAAGGTAAACTGCGAATAAAATCAAACACCAAAACAATAACAGTCTACAGTAAACGTCAGTGTTAATATATATTATTTGTATCACCGATGTAGCTCTAAAGCTGGTGTCACGATATCGTGACAGGCTTAAATTTCTCGTGCGAATTGTATAGAGTACCATCGGTACCATTTTGAAGGTATTATGAATGTGGGATCAGGGGCGCAGATGGAAATTTTGATTCATTAGCAAGATGATAGACAACATCACTTTTGTTGCGTACCTCTCATAAAAATGCTATGCACAAAGGCATATTAATTTGACATTTTTGTGAAAGTGATGTTGTCGATTAAAATGTGCTGCTTCTCACCTCAATAGAAGTACGAGTAGTGAGCCAATCTTTTACCGGAGGCTAATAGACCAGGGTATCGAGAATTTCAGAACAACATGTATTTTCATCTGACATCTGGGAAAAAAGTTTTGAGTTTCATTTTGGTGCCCTTATGATATCCCGTGAAATGTGCAATTATGTAATACCAAAATGAAGAATTTTTTTGATGAAAGGTTCTTGTAGATGAGATCTTACGTGAGCGATTACTTTGTTATTGCAAAAAGAGTCATATGACAGTTGTTCAAATTTAATTTTACCGACAAGTACGTAATAATAGGTCTGATATATCAGTCAAAAGCTCAAGTCTTTGTTATTGGCTAACACAGAAGAAATGGAGGTCTGTACTTCCCACGCAACGCTGCTATCAAGTCGTAAAGGCATAGCCCCTCTGAGAAAAAGTCAGCCACAAACATCTCAACCCACTCTGCGTATGAATGGACTCAATTGTTTCGTTTACTAACTAGCACTGTGTAGAATATCCAAATAAGACCGTTTACCATCAGAATCGACCACTGCAGACGTAAAAACAACAAGCGACCTTGTTCCATTTTCTTACGAAGAATCAGGCATACTGCACGGCGCCCACCCATACGCGTGTTTTTTTTATACTCTAACTACCACGAAGGCCTAAGGCCTAAGCACCCATTGGGTACCGTGGGGCTATAGGGGGATACATGGGAAAGGGGGAACGCCACACGGACTCTGGCGAGGGAACACGGGTGCATGCAACATGCACACATTCTGGCTCCGCCTACGAGATCCGCCGGGTGGTACCTCCGCGTTCGACAGTCAGAGACCGTCTACCACTTACGGACAATCACAACATCCATAGCCAAGAGAAAAATTTCTCCTGGGACGGGACTCGAACCCGCACAGCGCACGGCGACTGATCAGGAGACCGAAGAGTCTACTACTGCGGCCACCGCTGCTGCCTAAACAAGTAAAAAACGTGTATATAAAAAAAACTAATAAATATTAGTACCGATAAAGTAAAAATTAGTCACAAAGAGAAAAGCACGAATGCCTGGATTACCAAAGGATTAATAACATGTTGAAAATTACTGGAGAATGGAACGATTAATATACTAACTCCAAAAAATTGAGACATACCCTGAGTGTCTAACAGTTCATCTCATATTCTTTGAGGGTCTGCGTTATTTTTAGGCAAAATCTAGATGATTCCTTTTTTGTGTCGTGACTTTGATATTATTTTCAATGCCCAAACATTTGTTTGTGATTCTTCTATTTAACAAAAATCTGCAGTAGTAATATAGTAGGGCGAGGGGATGCAAAAAATATTGTTAAATTCGGATGACTGAAAAGCAATGGAAACAGCTTGGTTGTGATTATGAGGTTAATTATGATAAAATATAAATTGAAAGAAAAAACCTTTATTGTCTAATTGCCCGTACTTTTTAAATCAATCTAGGCAGCAGCGGTGGCCGCAGTAGTAGACTCTTCGGTCTCCTGTGTGCCGTGCGCTGTGCGGGTTCGAATCCCGCCTCAGGAAAAATTGTTCTCTTGGCTACGGATGTTGTGATTGTCCGTCGGTCTCTGACAGTCGAACGCGGAGGTACCACCCGGCGGATCTCGTAGCCGGGGCCAGAATGTGTGTATGTTGCATGCACACGTGTTCCCTCGTCAGAGTCCGTGTGGAGTTCCCCCTTTCCCCTGTATCCCCCTAATAGCCACACGATACCCCATCGGTGTTTAGGCCTTAGGCCTTCGTGGTAGTTGGAGAATAAAAAAACAAAAACAATAAAATAGCGCTGTCAGTTAAAAAAGTCTAGTTTTAAGGGTGATTTTTAAAATATCTTTTTGAAAATAAAGGGTATTAAGAGTGCTGTCTGATAAACGGCACCTTATGTCAATCTCTATGTACAAGCAGCTGATTCAACACTGGTTGGCACTAGCCTAAATTCGAATCGTCTGCAGTCATTGAAAGATGCAATTCATCTTCGTCTTCTACATTTGCTACTGTGTGGTATTAATCTCATTACCAAAAGTTGAAGCGTTTGAGAGATCTGGGGCGATAATCGTTTGATTATGTTTTTAATTTCTTTCCGTATGAGATATTTGCTAGGCAATTGGAAAGTTTCGTTGACTTTCAGTATCTCAAAGTCATCTTGATATTTATGAGGATTTTTCAAATATAACTACTATTGCCTCCAATCCCGTCAATCTCGAAGGAGATCTCGTCGTATTATGCTTCGAGATTGCATTCCCTAAGTAGGACCACATATTTTACCTAGTTCGTTATACTACTGAATCTGATTCGGCTTTGGTATCAAATAAAATCGATCGTATTTGCCATGAATCATTCAGTAAAGTAAGAGGATAAATTTCAGAAGTCATATATATCACGTTTATTTGCATACTCCTTTCAAAAAATGTAAAAAACGGTCATTCAGTTGCATTTTATAGCTTCAGAAATATAATATTTATCACCTGGTAGGTAAAAATATGTGAAAAATGGATAAAAATGAGAAGCCGCTTGGCATAACTAATTTGGTCTCTCTCTTTCATCGACAGGACAGAAACCAGTGGCGGTGAGCCTGACAGAATATCGCTAGTTGCTAGGAATACCGTCCAAAAGATGCCGCCCTTAATTTTATACAACCAATGTTCAACATTATTTTTGTCATTTAAGATCGCTAGGTTAACA